AGAAACTGTTTGTTCCTTTAAACACGGCAGATGTAAATGGGCGTTTATACACGGTTCACAATCGGGAGTACTTATTCAAGTAGACAAATCTAGTCTTTTGTGGCAGTTAGCTTGTTCACTTAGCTGAACAGTTCGGTTGAAAACGTTTCATCACCAATCAAGGTGACATCATCAGTGCGTTGTTAGAGAGCGTAGTGGTGATGGGTTGGTGGTTGTGTTCTGTCATCAAAGATTACGGCATACATCTGTGGCATAATCTCCCAAGGGGAAGGAATCAGCCAAGGACGAATTGGGAATAATCCAGCTTCCATTTCATTCAAGTGCATCCATTCTTTGTACAGTCAACATCCATGAATCTATTCACCTTCAAGCAAAGCTGAAGCACAGTTAAACCAACCGTTGATTTGTTTTCCAGTCAAATTTTTATCACTACAAGTTCCGGTTCACACCCGTTGTAATTCATCCAACTTCCCCACTACTAAACTGCATGCAACCACGAGTGGGTTCTTGTACCGATCTCACCAGTTATCGCGCAGTATGTTAGTTATTTATCCTTATCATCACTCTGAATTTCCTACGAAAAGTAATCGCGTTTTATTGGCGCCAAAGATTTTGCTCCAACAGCTGCGAAGGAAACAGCCACATGTGTGCCGGCTTTTTGCAAGTGGGGTTTTATTTGTTTCAGTTTTAACACCCAACCGTTGAAGCGGACAGTTAAAATTTGCGCACAACACAAACACAACCAGAAATTTAGATTCCTATCAAAACCGCATGTGATGGAGTCTCACCGACTTGTCGGCGCCGAGTACATAAACACAAACGGAACTGAACTTGTCATGAACAGATTTTTCTTAGCGTTGTGCTGTGAAAGAGTGCCGATTTTATACCGTCGTATAGTGGTGCATTTTTGAACAAAATTTTCTTAAATAAAGCAAGACTCTATTGTGCAGTTGCGGAAACTTTTTAGCACGGGTTGGAACACATTTACAGATATGGCTTAAAGGCACGGACACATGACGCCGTTTTATTCAAACCGAAAATTTTTGGATAAACGAAGTTTTCACCAACATTTGCCACAAGATTTTTTTTACCGAGTTGTTAAGGTGTGAATTCAAAATCGTGATGTAAATTGAGGTTCGTGATTTGATGATAATCATGCTACTTAAGTGTTGTTGAAAATTCCGTACGGTTTCTTTCAACTTTGCTGCTACCCCAAGAACGACTGCGGATGAACAATGCTGGGGAAAGTGACAAACACCGAGTAGGCCAGTTTCACACGGAAAAGGTGATTGATGAAATATGCTTCTTAGGCTTTTCTAAGCCTTTCGACAGCCTTAGTGACTCCATAAGATCATAGAAAAGAGCGACGCACATTTGCTTAATGAATTAAGGGCTGATTAGCTCCAGTGAGTTCCTTGTGTGATTTCCGCAATGGACCAGATGTTGATATCATTAATTTACACATGAAATTTGGGTGTATATTGAGGAAAGTTGCACAGCCCCCCCCCCCAAAAAAAAATCTTGGCAAACGGCTGTGCAAGTGTCGTCAAAAGTATTGAAGCTAAGCCAGTAGGCTAGGTAAGGTTGAAGTGTTAAAATTCCTGGCTCCGTTTGAAAAAAGTAGCAGGGAAAAAAGTTGCGCTGTAGAACAGAATTAATTAGAGCAAATTACGGGACTCGTTGCGTCGTTTATATGGGACCAAACAAATCTCGGAGAAACTGCCTCTCAGTTTCAAGTTCAAACCATTTAATCACTATTTTATCATGGGAGTTCCATCTATGATCTGTTACCTATCATGATCTGTCCTGTCTTGGCTAGATGCCTCGTAATCAACGACTTGACTTTGGACTCGCTCCAATCAAGAGCACGTCAAGATAGAAGCTCATACATAGACTTTTAAGACATATGTTGTTTCACTCAATTTTCTGGCCTTCGGTCAGTTCTACCAGGATGAGCACCTCTGTAATAGCAGATGAAACAGCTGCGCGGTTTGTGCTTATCAGGAAGACCAGATTTCTGAATGTAATCTCAAAATGCCCGAAACCTACTGCTCCACCAAAATCTGAACAGGAAAGCCGGCAAGCATCCAGGCTGGTCAATTATTCGATCAATTCAGCAAAAGCTGATAAATGTTCATGCACGCCACAGAAGCACGACCGAATGTGATCAGCGTTCAGGAATTTCATGGAGGCACGATCGATGTTGATGGATGCTCACTAACGCCCATCAGACAGCCTGGATCAATGTCAGAAAGTCCCCTTTAAATAGCGTGGGGCCGTTGTAAATTTTGCTCTCGCACTCGCACGCACTCACGCTCTCGCACTAGCTTGTTCAGAATATAGCTGTTGTATTCCCTTCTGGGAGTCTTTTTTCAGCAACTAGGCACTGGAGCGGGTTAGCAGCAGATACCACAGATCGGCGAATCAGTAGATATAACAATGCTAATGATGATAGTTGCAAGGCTTGCGTATGTACCCCAAGATTTGGTTGTGATGCTGCTCTATGTGTTTTGCTGGGAACCGCTCTCAAATTTCAATTAAATTAACAACATTTTCTGTCCTAATTTTAGTGAATCTTTGTGTAAAAGCTTCTCTTGAACTGCGATTCGCAGCACAACTTCGCCACTCAATCTAGAGTATCTTTCGATGAAACAAGGCTGGCGTAACTCCCTCAAAACTAAATTTGTTAGGTATTGAGTGTGTTTCGCTAATTCCGTGCAGTTTGAGTTCACGTAGAACATGAGGTTGACGGACTGTGCCTACCTGATGAGCCCCAAGAAGGGAGAGACCGGTCGTGGGCTATCGATGGCTTTTCAGCAACATTTTAATTAGGGTATTACGTCTGGTGCTAAACCTCGTTTATCGATCAGAACATACAAAAAAAGCCAGATTTGTCTAGTCCTTGAAAACAATTTAAACGACAGCTGCTACTACTTAAGTGCGATGATCAAATTACCATACTGCAACTGGACACGAACTCCGGAACCTTGCCAATGGGTCCCATTGAATTCAAGGAAAACAAACCCGAATATTTTAGGACATCATGAAAGGTTCAGTGAAAAGAATGTAATAAAGCATTGTACAAAATACTGAAGGCCAATTATATGCTATCCTGAAAGATATTTGCGTGAAATATTACATAAGCGATGGCGTAGGAAGAAATACTTGTCACTAACCGGTTCGTTCATACAACATATATACGGAGTTTGAAAAAAACAGACAAGCCACCTGGAGTGTTATATCCGACACTCGCTACGCAGCAAGTTCGTACCGCAAAGTCGTTCAGTCGCGTGTGAGAATACCTGAACCTCTTAAGTTCAAATAGACCATTTTTGACCCTAAATTTATGCTTGAATTCGCGGAACTCCTACCAAATTTTAACACAGTAAAAAAGGTGATAGTCCTGTTTGAAGTTTCATATTGAATCATTATTTTCTAGCTTATCGATCTTTGGAGTTTTTGGCGTGATTCAAGTTGTTATTGTACGAACAGCTAGGCTTTAGGACTCACAGCGAACGAATTACTTAAGCTTTTACAGCTTTGTACAGGAGATACACTGTCTTTCTTTTAATGGGCAATTTAGGGGGGATGATGCCACCTCTAGGGGTCCAGTTGGGTCTGGATTGACTCATGTGGTTGAGGACGGCTGAGAGCAGAAATCAATAGGAGGGGCAGGTGAAACCGATTGGTAAATAGTTCATGCATAGGTCATGGTCAGATACAGAAGTAAAATCAACTACTCAAGGTCATCTGAAGCAGAATAAAGTGCATCTGTTCTGTGATCTGCTGTACACCAAACAAAAATAATGGGCCGCTATCGAGAGGCATGTTTAGAAAACTTGCGTGAACAATGTAATATGCACAATGTAAACGTTCTTGAGGTGTTGAACAAAAGTGCTCTAGATGAGACCTTTGTTAGAATGACTGTCTTGTTGTAATATGCACAATGTAAACGTTCTTGAGGTGTTGAACAAAAGTGCTCTAGATGAGACCTTTGTTAGAATGTACTGTCTTGTCGCTCAAGACGGAATGAAATTAAGGGTAAAACTACCTAAAGCACCGTCGGTTTAAGAACGACTATTCACCGAGGTTTTTGAATAGACAGTCTAAATTTCAATTAAAACGTGAGATACTGAAATGTGTACCGATAAATCAGGTATAACCTGCATTGCCACTCAAAAGATACTAAATCATTCTTTTCTAAGGGCGGTCAAATCCTTGCTGGCGAACTATCCTACAAGGATGTCGAAATAACCCCACTTAGTGCAACTTTGCCCATCCTAGTTTTGTACTTTTGGTCACTAAGATCGACTTAAATAAGCATTAGATTTGAAAATTCAGATGAAGATACACTGACAAAGCACCAAAGCACCTGGGAACTGGAATCAAAGAACACGCTCGAGAACATCTGCAGAAATCTGAATATCGTGGTCAAAAAATTGACCATGTAATAACCAGGTGACTGCCCGTCTGTATGGCAGAGCATACGCTCTGCATTACCGCAGCAGTAGCTCATACATTCACAAATTAGCTTACCTAAACTCAAACCGAACTGTTAATCAGAAAAATCCATTTATTCGCGCAATTTCACCACTTTGCTTTATCGAAGCGATTAGTTAAGTGGGGCTTAGAAATTTTGGTTTAAAAGTACCGATCAATGAATCTGAATAATCCAAAAATGCCCCACCCCGAAAAATTGTTCACAAGAAAACTGTTTTGTTTCACCTATTTGGAGGGTCGGTTGAGACATAATCAATTTGTATATTGTTGAAACGTAAGTTACGCGCTGTAATTAAGTAAAACCGTGTGCAAAACAGATACGCGTGAATAGTGTGCCATCAGCGGAACTGAACCCCTTTTCCATGAAATTTCTGCATTACAGTTTTTTACTCGAAGTAACAGACTTCAGAAACTGCTTCAATGAAATGCTTGATGATACCTTTTCCAAAATGAGACAGGAGCATACAATATGATACAATAAAAACATATTTTGGACTCACAGGTTTTGCAGACCTTTCAGTCCAGTGAGAGCAGAGAAGGACTTGATCTCTTTAATCTGGTTTCCTCGAAGATTTCTGTGTGGGAAAAAACAGTAAAAGATTGTGCTTTGGCATTGTAAAATGACTCAAAATAATCTTTAATCGATAAGGAGAGGATGCAGACAGATAATGTGAACAAATCCAAGAACGTTTGATATCATCTTAAAGGTATATTTGAATGAGTTATAGTGGAGTTCACGATGCCTGATTTCCGTTACTGGAGAAAAATCTTCACTTTTCCGACAGGACACACTCCACTTGCAAGGCTCTTGAAAATTCTTCGAGGCCTCACCGCCGATTATGCCCATCCTTGGGCTCATCAGGTGGGCGTAATCCGCCTGTTCCCGTCAACCTGATGTTTTACATGTAGAACTCGCGAGAATACATCCACCCGCAAAATAGACCCCTAGGTTATGATATTCTTGAACTAAAGGTTATTCACAAAGAGTGTCTTATTTTTTAGTCATCGCGATAACATGAATGGGTGGTTTATCCGAGCCACTCCTCAACACCGATGTACTTGTAGGTGGATTTATTTCATTAATTTTTAATTGTTCCTCATTTGTGGCGGACTCCTGTTGTACTTGAGATCGCTAGCGTTTGCTGATTTGAGACACTTAGAGCGTCAAAGCGGTGTATCCCTGAATCTCAACGGACGTTCCTTTAAAAGCTGTTTTGTCATCTGTTTGTGAGGCTTGGTCTGTTAGAGCAGCGGATCTGAGACATCTTCAGCGGCTCAACAGCGGTCTTCGCACTGCCATAGGTTGTGTGGGTTGGTGTCGGCGAATCCGTAACGTGGTAGAAAGAAGGCTAGTGATCGGTTGTGCAGCACGGACTTCTATTGAAGAATGTGTCCAACACCAGAGGCCGCGCATGTTGAACCACCATTTGCCGAAGAGAGTGCTGTTTTCCGTGTCCAGTCCAGAGTGGCCAAGGCAGAGAGGTATCCAAACACTGAGCTCACCGAAGGGTACGAAATAGGTTACGAAAAGTTTGGGTGTTGTCGGTGCTTCTTGCTTTCCGGGATGGGGACCGTGTGATCCCCACTGCTCCTGGTTGGAATTGCTGCGCGATATGGATGCTAATCGATGTCAATGGATTCTTGTTGTTAGCTTTTATCCAGATTACCTTAATGGATTGCACCAAGGATTGATCGTAATAAGCTAGCACTATGTCCCTGTACTGTCAACTTTCATCTTTTTCTACACAGTAAGGCTTTCAAATAAATCATGGTTGTACGGCAGTGAAGTATCAGTGTTGGGCACTGATGTCATGATGTCAGTGTTGATGATGATGTGTTGATCGACGGGTTTAGGGATGCAAGTCGTTGATGCTCCCTGAGCACGTCTCAAAAAAGCGTCTGCAACCGTCGGCGAGGGTTGTCAGCTGTTTCTAAACCTGGCGGGAGACATTTGCGAATTTGGTTAGGCTGTGCATCTAAGCTTATATAACTCACCAACCATTGTTATTCTGTTTCCTTGTAGAGGCTTCTCGAACAAGTCATATTCGATAGTGGCTTCCATAACAGTAGCTTCAATATTTGGAGAGTAAGTCCTATCTGTAACACACCAAAGTGTTAATAAACCTTTGTGTGAGAGGGGGCAATGAACCTGCTATCCTCATATACGATTTCACCGTTTGTTTAACTATTCATCTTAAAATGAGCTTGCTGATGGAGGCATTTGTCGTCTGAACCCAGAGTTTTTATGCATCGTTTTAAACGATGTCGGTGATTGCATGTTGGTCTCCTTAAAAGCCATCCTGGATCGTCTCCTCAACGAAGAGAAAAGATGGACAGGTGTAGGTGCTCTCATCCACTGTATGAGAGGTTCACACTGCAACCCAATGGATGTGGATAACTTCGTAGAGTACCACCGTCCAGAAACAACATCTACGCATCAGATGGGACATAATGTGATCGGTGTACACTGTCTCCACTACAGAGCAGAATTTGAACTTAATCATTACCGACTTCTCCTCAATTTTGCAATGCCGAATCAACTAGTGTGAAATGAAAGTGCATTCAACTTTTCGCTGGTATGATTGCAGTTTACAGTGGAGCTTTTCGTGGTCATGCCTTCATCCAACCACTGATTTGCACAGATTGCAGAGCAGACAACCCTTACATTCAACTCACAGTTAGTCGGGGTCTGCTACTGCTACCACCGGAGACTACTGCCCCTCGGTCTTTAAACGAAAACCGTATGATAAGGTACGTGGTCGATAGAAAACAGCTAGAAGAAATTATACTGATAGAAGTGTTTACTTCTGGACCGTTGGTGTATTTCGGGCTATCCCAAAACAATATTCGTACATGAAACATGTTGATGATGTGGAATTACTTAAGCCCATGTACAGACAAGCTGAGTCAGACCACTCGTCTGCAATGGTTAAGCAAGCAACTTGGCCAGAAACACCTGACCGTTCCGACTATGTGTCACTAGTCAAACACACAAATTTCAAACAGGCCGAAATTTGTTTCCGCTCCAGTTTATGATTGCAGTTTACAGTGGAGCTTTTCGTGGTCATGCCTTCATCCAACCACTGATTTGCACAGATTGCAGAGCAGACAACCCTTGCATTTAACTCACAGTTAGCCGGGGTCTGCTACTGCTACCACCGGAGACTACTGCCCCTCGGTCTTTAAACGAAAACCGTATGATAAGGTACGTGGTCGATAGAAAACAGCTAGAAGAAATTATACTGATAGAAGTGTTTACTTCTGGACCGTTGGTGTATTTCGGGCTATCCCAAAACAATATTCGTACATGAAACATGTTGATGATGTGGAATTACTTAAGCCCATGTACAGACAAGCTGAGTCAGACCACTCGCCTGCGGTGGTTAAGCAAGCAACTTGGCCAGAAACACCTGACCGTTCCGACTATGTGTCACTAGTCAAACACACAAATTTCAAACAGGCCGAAATTTGTTTCCGCTCCAGTTTTTGAGCCCGTCAATAGGCACTTGTAGGCTCTTAACGCAAAGGAAAAAATCGCTCTATTTATGTGCCACATTCTGAAACGAACGTCCGTATTTTGTTTGGTGCACACAACTCCCCCTCTGCATTTCTACAAAACCCAAACAGTTTGCTCCGATACCGGAAAACCTGGTGGCTTTGTTGCGTTAATCAAAGCTGCATTCACGTGCAACTGGCGCCTTGTACGGAGGCCAGCGGTCGCTAATAACCGAACACCACATCATTTAGACAGATGTGTCACGTGCAGGACACGGGCCAAAGGAAGACATGCCCTGATTGGTCAGAATGCCAGCCAAGCGCCTCTGACTCGACGCTCCTGGCCCCCCCCCTCACGGAGATTCGGGCACGACCTTGTGGAATACTGTGACTACCCTACAAATACAATCGTACTAATTTTCCTTTGTCTCCATAAATGGCTTTGTAGAACTACCGTGCCTTTCGTCATACCCTGTTGGGCGGAGCAGGAAACCAAGGGACCCATACAGAGTTGCACGATCGTCCACCAAGTCACAACACGCCTGGTCAAACGATCCTTTAATTCCTGTTTCCATTTGACATGTGACCGGATGGGTTGATTGGTTTGTCGTGGGTTTGGATGGTGTGGCTTAGCGCAGTGGTCACCGCGTAACCTGGATGAGATGTTCTAATGGTCAGAAAATTGTCTGGACACTCAACTAGACATGCAAGACTGTTCAGGGGGCTATGAACATGTTGCCCCGGTTCTTCGTGTGCTTTAGTTAACTGCAGCTTACCTTGTCTTCCAGCACAACCGCAAGGCGCTCGTTGGGTCGCCCAAAGTTGTGCATCAAACTCAGGTCATGCTTCCTTCCTACCTATCGGGGGAAAAGCGTGTTTCATCTTTTTTTTATCATTTTACATGATTCTTTGTACCATGGGTATGACTCAATGAATTGCACACTCACTTTTCAGCAGAAACTGCAGATATTTTGGAAAGCAAATGCATCAAAAAACGGCACAGAGCTCCATGGCAAGGAATGTAGGAGTGTCATAAAGGGGAATTTCAAAAAAACTCTCAAGCACAGAATAGCGCTGACCGAGGCTCCTAGTTCCGGTCTTCTGCTTTCCCGCTACACGTTCTTGAGCTGAACAAAATCTGAAGGAGTCAAGTATACCCTCTTTTTGTGGTTTCCGAGATGCAGTGTCCGTCATTAAAATATCTGGATTGCTGACGCTTTTATTCGAGGACGACTGCCCACACCTGGTTGACGTTTCGTGAAGTAGGCGAGGAAAACTTGGATTTTTGAGGATATTGCGACAGCATAAAAGACACAGGCATTATTCCAGACGATATTTACCATCCACCCGCACATACGATGAACAGACACCGGACCAAGGTTCTGCCTGGCCATTGAAGTGTAGCACATTTCATTGGGAGTTTGTCATCTGAAAGGTCGAAAGTCGAGTGATCACCAGACTTACAGAAGACATAAAAACATCCGGTATACCGTAGATCCGAGAACCAGTTTTGCTTGGATGTTTCCGTTGGCAACTTTCTGATGAACCGGAACTGTCTCTACCTCCACTTAATAGAGGGATTTTATGACTACGTCGCAATTGACGACGAGCTCTGTGTTTAGGAGATCGAGAGGATTCATATGGAGAACGAAACTATAACGTACGAATTTTTGCCTCCGCATTCAAATGCTGCTAGTAAGACCAATGATGCTGTCAATTTGTTCAGTTCGTCGAGGCCGAAGCAGTTATCTCAAACAACGACGAGAGAAACCCTCGAGAACCAGGATCCGATGGTCTCATTTCTTGGGAAAAGAAACATTGAAGTTCTGCACTCTGTCTAATTTCGATCTACTGGCAAGGATAAGAATAAACCTATGGATATCACCAGGGTTTTCGCAAACCAAATTCGGAAATGATGGCGAGCAAAGAAGCAGTCGGATGATTATGTCCTTGGGGAGAATTGTTTTACCCCTAAATTCCATAGAATTGCTTGATACCGTTATTGATGAATATTGGTTGCATGATATTGGTTGGAGAGACTACTCTTCTGAGATCATAAGTGACAAAAATCGAGGGGGACATCTTAACAAGCAACGACAATTTTCTGTGTGCTGTAATCGGTTGGGTAGGCCAGCAAACTTAGAGTTGCATAGGTTGTGTGGCAACTGAGCAAGTGAAAATACTGAGTATGAAAATGCCAACATCCTGAAGAAATGCTTTGAAACCAGTTGCTTCATCTGTTGTAGTAAGCGGATGAAACTGCATCAACTCATTCTGTGTGAAGAAGGCAAATAGGAAGGTGAAGGTAGGACAACTGTCTGACCGTGTTTCCCCGCTGCATGAAACAATTTCCAAGCGTTGTAAATTTGGTCAAATTTCGTGTACCCCCTCTGGTCATAGCTTGACCTCTCAGTAGGAAACTGCAGCTTCTCGTCAACACGTTTCAACACGCCAAATGTGTCGCGTTTCAGAGTTCCTCATAGCATTCTCCGCCTTGGCGCCTGCATTACGGCCTAGCTCACATAAGATCGACATGTCTGGTCCAGTATGCAGAAAAATATGCACTCATTCCTGCCTGGCTTCCTAACAGGCTAAGATTCAAAATTTCTGATTGTTATTTCCCTTGATGTAGGCTACCAGTTAGTCCATATCCATGCGGATTTGATCCACCCTTAACTCCCACCGAAAGCATCATCTAATTGCTGATTGTTTTTGATAACCATAGAGAATGACCAACCGTGACGGCTAAGAACACCGTCTGAGACGAAGAGGCTACTGTTTTGAGAATAGTCATTCCTCTTGGATTTCTTATACTCTTGGTTGCCATCGCACCTGGATTACAGCCTGTTATCCCCGGGTCAACTATCTCCTGATTACAATGACCGTCAATGTTGTTGACGTTACCCACGGGAGTGACACCAAGATCACTATAATGTGAATGACTGCGTGTCTTTTCCTATATTTGTGGTTTTTAGTGACGTAAAAGGGTTTATGCTGACCCAGCTGGAGGTATCAAAGTTAGTTAGCCATCTTTATTTTTAAGAATTCTACGTACAGGGGTCAGGTGTAATGAAAATTGGGCCATATCTTAAATACATAATATCCCCTGGTAAACAGCAGACGGTTGATGTGCTCTCACCGGTTCGTCTTGAAATGTGGCCAAGTGAAATGGTAATTAGTTTGCTTGCCACGCTGTTGAAAATCTAATCAAGTCTGATGTAATCGGACGATTGGGTGAAGAGTGACCACGACTCTACTGCTCTTCCCCCTCAAGAAACAGCCTCATCAGAGCCCCAGAGAAACCACATTTGCAGTCCTCAAAGTGACCGATATGCTCCGTCAGGACAGTTACGATGAATACGTCCTGTATGGGCGGTGAAGATCAGTGCCATGCCAACACTGATGTTGCTGTCTTTGATGATGATGATGATGATGACGTCCCTGGGTGACAGAGCAGTTGGTTGGACCATCACCATCAGATGATACCCGTCAGAACATGCGCTTTGATCCACCACCATTCGGGCCTAGGTGAATGTGGTATCCTTTAAGATACAGTTGTGCCTGTTTCTACCTTCGCCGATAATCGATTTGATGGATTTATGTCCATGCCTGTTGGAGCACACAGACTATTTGGGCGCACTGGTTGCGTAAACAAGCGAGGCCAGAATTCGGCATGTTTGGTTGACGACGTCGGAGATAAACTAACAAGCCATGCGAGATGTTGCAGCTGAAGAGACGGTTATTTTAACTCGGTGTAAGGTGTTCTGTAAATCAATAAGCCAGCTGGTGAAAAACTCGCAATATGGACCATCCAGTCTCCATTGTTCAGCGTCAATAGGCCAACTACTTTCACAACACCATTGGAATACTTTTTGGTTGGTGTGCCTTTACGTGCTTCCAAAAAGCTCGGTATGATACACAGCCGTAACCCGATACCCCATGGAAACTGTTTGGTAGAAGCGAAGTGACTCATTGATAGCAATTCATTGTGCACATACCGTACGGGTGCTGTTGAGACCGTCATCAAAACGAATACTGGATGGCGCATCAGGGTATGCTTGGGACAGTGGCATAATTATGTCAGGTAAAGTCCGTTGTCGCACAACCATGGTACTGACGAAGATATCTCTACCGTTGAATGGCAAGTAGAGGTGGTCTAATCAAGTGGAAACGGTGGAGCGCATCGTGTTGTGACGGTGAAAGGATGTGAAACATTAATCAGAGGGGTTGAAATGTGAAATATTTACTCCTGTTGGAGAGTGTGAATAAACTGTACAAAAGTACGAACGTAAATATTTAGGCATATGTCCAGTCTAAGGCTTGTGACCATCAAACCTAGTGATGACGGATATGAGCCTAGTTCATTGGTTGCAATCATTTCGTCACAGATATTCTGGATATTCGCTCACATTCACGGGCAGAAGATACCCTCTGGTTTCACACTCGGCAAGATCATTTCCCAGGATGAAACACCTGGACAGTAGTGAGCTTTGGTGTTGGTTCGACTGTCACAAAACCAGGCACCGTTTTTAGTACCTCACGTTATCCAGTTATGCCACCACCTTTCATGAAGTTGACCGGATTTAGTTTGTCAATGGTTTTAAAAAGAAGTATGTTTGAACATGCAACACACCTGTAATCTTCAGTAATACGAAAAGGCTACTCGAAACATAGTAATCCATTACTTCTCTAGTTCCTAACGTTTACAATTTTGCCATTGTACGCATACCATGCACAAGGTCATTATCATTTGTGATTCCTGTTTGACAAAGTTTAATCTTTCACTCAGAGGTCACACTTCAGTGACAAGAATACAGGCCTATCTTGCTGACACACCAGTAAGTATCCTCAGTTCGACATTTTTGAGTTCATTTGGAGCTGGACATACATTGCGGCTGACTAGGTGACCAATTCCATCACAACTTTCCGTCCGCCGCTGAAAACATCCCAGGCAGGCTGGCTTTTCGTTAAACAGCTGGCGAAGACACAAGAGATGCCTCATATTCCTTTTCCGTCTCAAAAGTCTATGCTTCTTGTCGAGGTTGATTACAGCGCATGTGACTTCGGGTAACGTAGAGTAGGGGTAGAGAAAACAAAGCAGGCAAACTTAAAAGGAACAACTTCTAACGTTTAAGAACAACGGCCGATAAAACACTGCCGCTGGTTACGTGACATCATCGGTGAGTACTACAAACCATCCTCAGAGACGACATGGCCCAGTGCAACCACGAACCTTTGATACGTTTATCATATTTCGTTTCATGATCACGCACCGCCTACCTTGCGGTATTCTCCAAAGGAAGCTTACCTCGGAAAACAAGGCAAGACAGGGCAATCGATCAGTTGGAAATCGGGTACCAAGGTCGAGCCGGCTTAGTTGATGTAGTCGAATCAGTCCGTCAGCTGGACAGACAGCTGATTTGTTATCAAAAGCTATTCACTGCATTTCCACGTTACTAATCCGAAGTTTCGAAATGCATGTGCAGTGCTTCGAAAGCGCCAACTGCAGAAGATGAGCAACCGTCTTCTGTCTCCGGTGCGCAGTGATCGAGCTTTGCAACCACAAGTCAACGCTTGGTGCACTGCCACTTTGTAATTTCTGTCCATCACCGACAGACTAATGTCACGTCAATCGTAGATCTGCTTAATTTAAAGGCGGTTTTAATGCAATACCCAGCTCATGCCGTAAGATCTCTCAATCTTGTAATGGCACCTCATACTTTGAAGGTGCAAAGAGCATACCAAAATGTACGACAATGTTATCTAGACTGTCTGAAATTCTCCATATGGATGGAATCAGAACCTACAAACACACTATCTTCCGTATTATCCAGGTCTTTCCCGGATAAAAGCTCCACGCTATAAATAAATTACCATATTCAGGCCTTCCTTAAGAATAGCTGCTCTAAGTCGCCGTCCGCAGTGCGTCCCTTACCAGGGCAGACAATGGGAATTTGAATGAATCTTTGAGTTGCCTTCCATGATAATGGCTTCATTGGCCATCGGTTCCCCCGGTTCGGTGTTGCGAACAATTTGGAGAAGCGTCCAAATATTTCCAGCCGCTGCATTCTTTTCCATTCCGTAGGCTTTCCCTAACCACCACTTCTCCCAGTCATTTGAGGGACCACGAGTCTCGCTGAAATGTGTGTTCGCACCAGTCGGACAGCTTTCCTTAATTTGACCAAGGACATAGATTGCCGTCAGATCCAACTTAATTTATCACATGGCCGAGCTCATAGCGTTCGGGAATTCAATTCAGTCCCCATTGGACCGGCCAGTTTGTTTCCCCTTCACAAATTGTCTGGTCAGTTGTTGCTCATGGAGCTTTTTGGTGACCAAATCTTGAAGGAACAGTGAACTTTAAAGCGGCAAATGATCTTCTAAGCTGCTCCCTGTCCATTTTTTAGCGACTACACACGGTTATTGAGGTTTCTTCAGTCGGCCATGCTGACTGCCGACGCGTACGCATCTTCAGCATTCTATCAACCTTTGCAAACACTTAAGCATAAACATAACCTCAACCACAGCAATATTCAAAATAATATGATGCTATTTGTGGTATTTTTGTACGTGTCGGCTTCCAGTAATGTCGTGCCGGTGTGGGTCGCGTCACACGTTTCAACAGGGATGGACTAATGGTGACCAATGGTGATGCTACTGATGGGGAAGGCATGCGAGTAGTACGTTTTCGCGTAAATTTGCTTTGCGTCTCTTGAAAAGCGAGATCTACTGTACAGTTTGTGGAGTCACTTTGTTGTGTTTACTTGGAATTGAGCAACAGTCAATGAATATCCAGGAAAGTTAAGAAAGACGCGTTGAAGGAGAAGATGAATATTCAGATTTTGTAAACAAGATGCATATGAGAATTTTGCTTCCCTGTCCAATAGTCTGTAACTGTTCAGTGGGGATTTTCTAATAAACAATTCCGCAGGGAAGGCCTTATTCCTTTCGATGGTGGTGGTCGGTAGGGTTGGACATGGGCGCACATTGATCCATTGCGGACCAAGTTGGTCAAAGGCACAACGGGGAAATTTTACAGCATGGCAAGTGCGGTCGCTTTGGCGTAGTTGCTCCCAAGGTACTACTTGATGGACCATGTGGCTTCCGTGGCGAATCAAGCCCGAGTGGGGGATATCGAGTGATTGACGAAAAATGAAGAATTCGGCCACGGGCCTGCCTATCAGCGCTTAACCGATATCAACACTGTGAACTACGCATGCTCCGGCCCAGGCCATACATCGAAGACAAGCATTCACAATTGCTGTCATCCTGGTAATGATTCGGTTGAAAGTGTTGTGCAAATTACCAACTATTCACACACTTCCAAAATTCGTCACAGTATCTGACAGAATCGCTAAATATTCACAGGCCGCTAATTTCTGATTGCGCCTTGAACTTCGAATGTCTTGGAACGATACGGGCTGGTCGAAGCAATCAACACTTTGTTTGTTTGAAACTCTTCTGAGATTATATAATATTGAGATACTGAGAGGTTCTTGGGGTACGGTTGTAACCAATAATCAGTTCATTTCCCTAAATTCAAAAGTGATCAACTTTGGAATATCACTCGATGCCCGTTTATTTATTGTCATGCAGAGCGTCAGGAGGCCAGTTTTTATTCTCCACTGCCACGGCTTAATGTCACCGACCAAAAAGCTTGACAGTCGAATACAAGACAGATGTGGCCACACAACTGACGTGTACAATGACAAAATACCCGTCAATGTGTATTTGTCGATAATCCAATCATCTGTCCCAGTATTTTTTTCAAAGAATGCGTTATGAAAGAATAGTGGGAGAACGTGGAAAACTTATGAAGCCAATCATTGGAAACAAGATGAATAAGACAACCTTTTTCCACAAAATAATCATCCCAACTCAAGAGGGCTCAATCAGATGGATTCATCTAATAGAGACCTATTTGTGGAAGAGAAGCACCTTGGGCTTACTCCCCATTTGGGACTTTCAGTAAAAATCACGGTAACAAAAGAAAGATCATTGGACTCAGATAGCACTTACAGTTCCCGAGTGTTTGATGGCAGGGTTTTCGGCAGTTCCGTTAGTCCTAGATGCGAGCAGTCAACGCTCAATCCATCGGAAATCAGCCCCAGTTCATCTGGTCTGTAGGCTGCATCGGGTCGTGCGTGTAGCAACGGGGTTGATGTGATTTCCGTGCACCGGCATCCAGATGGACACTGAAGACGTTCTGGTGTGCACAAGGAATTGTCATCATCTGGTCCCGTTTGAGCTGTAAGTGGGGAAGTTTCATCACTTCAGGAGTGCCACATGAGACCACATGCGTAAAACGATACGAATAACGGCAGATACCTTCAACGACCATCTTCTTCGCTCAAAAGATTCTGTCTCACATGTTTCAGGTTTTCCACCGAAATCGTGAAGACAAAATGACAAAGCACAGAACTGAAGGTGCTAACCGTCGGCCACTTTTGAAGAGAGTCGCTTACCAGTTCCAAGTTGGTGGAGCAAAGCTTTTCTAATAAGATGTTTCATAGTTGGAAGTCAGTCAGCTATTCGTATGGCCAGAAAGTTTTTGAGAATGTTGTCTGCATATCGTCTGAGGTAAACTTAACTTCACTACGTGCGCATCTTGAATAGTGTCTGTTTACTGTCTTTAACTTAATTATGTAGAGGCGGCGAGCCAAACTTCTGCCGCATTGACACCCATTTATGTTTAACCGATTAAGCTTCAGCAGTGCTTCTTGTTTGGCAACCTCCAGTTTGAAGAACTGATCGACAGCTCACGACCCTTTTTCAGCAATGTTTCAGCAACCTTAAGAGTAGTGTATTACGTCTATACACGTATCGCGATATCTTGAACATCGTACCAATTGAAACATGAGGCGGCCTGGTTGAGCACATCCAGTTGCTTGAAAACACCTTAAACGAGGGATTCAGCTGGGTTCCAGATGAGTCTCCCGTCAAAACCAAGGTGATGTGAAAATGAGTGTATTTCACTAATTTTGTGCAATTTGGGTTCAAGTAGAACATAGGATTGACGAAAACTCAGGGACTGCGATTACCTGATGAGCCCTAAAAAGGGCAAAACCGGTCGTGGGCTGCCAAAGAAGGCTCAGCAACCTTGTGAGTAGTGTACTGGTCATACCTGCCTTTCCAAAACGCAACGCCAGTGAAATCACTCTAGCATATAATGGGTTAGTTCAGACAAAGACATTTTAGATAAAATGGTCGCATAGCTGTCTGTTGACGTTCCCATAAGCGTGGACTCTGTACTACAAGATCCGTGAGTTTTGCAGCTCCATCTTATTGGTGATAGCTCATCAGATTTCCAAGAAGCACAAATTGATAAAAAACACCACAGCACAGACTGCCTGAAGAATGCATAAAAACTACAGGGTTGTGTATACCTGTGGCTTTGCAATGGGCGAGGACATCAAGACAGCCTCTCTTTTCGTTCCAGTAATCGGTTAAGTATATCAGTATCCCTCCACTTCCCATGGGTTTCACCGTTTGTTGTTGATAAACTATGTTTGTAAATATGTATCATCATTTTGGTCCATATAGTTCATTCATCTCGAAAGTGCTTCACATACCGTCACATCGGAGCATCTTCTGTACCACTTCACGCACGTGATGACCTTGAAGTGAGAGAGGTTCTGCGCACCTTGCCCACTGAGTACCGCCGGCCTCTTTTTCGACCAGAATCGGTGGTAACCAAGCCAGGCGACAATCGCAGATCAGTGGATTATGCACCAAGTACCTACCGTGAATAAAAATAGTAGATAAACGATGGAATTCAGCTGAAGTATTGCACCAGAATTTTGCTCATGCAAACAATTTGTTTCTGATACGTCATGAACCCACAGGAAGGAATATGTAACCTGAGAACATTACAAACAGAGATTCAGACAATCGCAGATCAGTGGATTATGCACCAAGTACCTACCGTGAATAAAAATAGTAGATAAACGATGGAATTCAGTTGAAGTATTGCACCAGAATTTTGCTCATGCAAACAATTTGTTTCTGATACGTCATGAACCCACAGGAAGGAATATGTAACCTGAGAACATTACAAACGAGAGATTCAGCTGGGTTCCAGGTGAGTCTCTCGAAAAACCAAATTAGTTTGCAAATGAGTGTATATTAGCTAATTTCGTGCAATTCGGGTTCAAGTAGAACATAAGGTTGACGGAAACCCGGGGACTGCGCCCCTACCTGATGAGCCCCAAATAGAGCGAAACCGGTCGTGGGCTGTCGACGGATTTTCAGCAACCTTATGAGTAGTACATTACAAAGATATACAAGCATGTAACCTTTTGGGAGCCATATGCTACGTGATTTTGCCAGAAAACTCCCATGCCCTGCTGAGGGCAAACAGGATTTAGCATGTGATTAACGAACGACTTTAAATCGCCATCAAACCCCTAGCTGAACATCTGTGCTGGTTCATAGGATAAACTCTCATACAGGTTAGCCATCGAAGTAGACAAGAACAACCTTCATACGGACTCAAAGAGGACCCTAGGCTGACTAGGCGTTGGGAAGTTTTGAAGGACTTTTGAGATAGAGCTGTCTTTAATAGAGCCTCGCTCATTCGTCGAATTCTTTACAAACCAGTCTAGTATTGAGCGTGTTAACTATTAGCAAATGTCAGAGAAAATGTGACTGGCAAGCAATCTTCTCGTATTCTGCGCGTGATACGTGCCAAAAGGTACCACAAATGCGTGGTACTTATCAGGTCCTTCGTGAATATCGCGAAAAGCTGAAGAATACAACTGATTGTTGACGGATGGACAGGGTTACGAGTTTTAGGACCAAACTTCACCCACTCTGGTGCCTTTTATTCCAGTATTTATTCACTCGCACTTTTGGTGAAAAGACAAGCAAGAAGAAGAAACATTCGTTTGGAGGACTTACAGGTATTTGAGACGTCTAAGGTCTTCAAAGCTTCCTTTTGGAAACGTCTGAATGCGATTTTCTGACAAATGTCTGGAGGGTATGTAGCAATACATAGAAGGGTTTAGATTAGAGCTTTCAGGAAGTCTACTGTTAGTCTAAATGGATAGAAAATAGGATAAAAAATAGCTGAGTGAAGGGGGAACTCCGGCGAGAAGCTCCCTAACCTACTGGGCCATTAGAGTTACCAAAAGTACCTGTGGTACTTTGCATGAATGCACCTGAACTTTTATGGAGGTTCAGCACTTACCAAGTATCATTTCACAACAACAAATTAAGGCTATCTGGATAATATAATATGACGACGAGTGACTTCTGGTAAATCTCACACAGGGGAAAGCAATGCTGACGTGAACAAACAGTAATCCACTGGACAGAGTTGTGTCAAGTAGCATCTGAAGTTTAAAGGGCGAGCGATGCAACCCTCGACAAAGCTCTTGTTCGGAATGTGGAACGTCGGTAGTTCTGCTTCATTCACAAGTATTTCCTTTTCGTTCGCAAAGCAAGGACTTTGAACTTTGACGGAAAAGACATTTATTCGGTCTCTTGATGGAGCAACCAAAGGTCGCTCCCTACACACGACGGTATGTTCAGCAATTGGATGCGATTCCTCATACAACTCGTTGTTGAACACAAGTGACCTCGAAAGTGGTGTTAGGATCAGCTGTAATTTACAAGAATATGAACAAATGTCATTCGTCCCGGAGTAACTTTGTGAACCCAGATTAGTTTGTTGTTCGAGCTTACTCGGGTTAAACTTTCGTTCGGATACGTCTGCTCATGAGTAGTAGTAGGAGTAGTCGGCGAGCTGAACCACCTCCTCGTGGTGCCGACCGGGTAGCCTGGACGTCTGTCTGGGTGAGCTAAGAGTTCAGCAACTCCAGACAGGGCCAACCACCCCGTTTGGTTTCAATGTGCTGGTTACTTTCGACAATGTATACTACGAATCATCTGGCGCCTCCGCACCAGTTCCAACCAGTACACAGGAGAGACTCGTTGGGTTCACGTGTGAGGAATGTGGCAAGTGCTGCAAATCGAAAGCTGGCTTTGTAGCCCATCATCGAGTTCACGACAATGAAAGTGTTGGTACGAACACAGTCGCCCAATTGGCCTGCGCTGATTGTTCCCGCCTTTTTCCGACGAAGATTGGCCTGAGTCAACACCGCCGGCACGCACACCCCACCCAGCATAATGCAGATAAGCTTGGCCGAGTGAAGTATTCCAGTACCCGCTGGTCCCAGCAAGAGTCACAATCGCTCTTACGCCTGGCTAACAATCTATATCCATCTTGCGGCACGCAAACCGAGCTGTTCACGAGATTGGAGCA